CTGCCACCCTTGCCCCTCTTCTCTCCTTATCTTGAGGGGGCAAGGTTTCAACAAAGTTCTGCCTCTTTTAGTGTAGATACCGAAGAGGGCGTCTGATAAAGTTAACATCATGAGCCATCAGCTTTTCAATACGTGTTTATCTGCTGTGTCTGGCGTCCCGATCTTCAATTACTGAGTGTTAAGATCATTCTGCTTGCCCATCATTCTTATTTCTTGAACTTAATCAGCAGAAACAGACAAATTGGCGGAGAAAGTTATAGGGGATGAAAGGCCTGGCAACGTCCCTATAGCTTTAGCTCTAAACCTAAAGCTGAGTCGTTCACCATATTTATTTTCTCTCTCATAAACTTCTGTTTAGTCATATAAGGAGCATCGGGAAACTTCGAAAAGATCATTTTTGTCGGTCTATTTATAGATCATACTTTCCATATCTCACCTAAACTTACAAGCCATAAGAGGTGCGGGCCAATTAATTCGTATTCGCGCGTGACATGGTATACACCTCGATTTATCTCTGACTAGTATTGGGTCGACGGATAAGCTTTGCCGTTTTTCATCAAGGAAAAAGTTTCAGGAAACATGATGTTTTGGCTACACATTATTTATCATTTGAAATGAATCTTCCTCTACATATAGTTGTTTAGAGCGATTCCACTAAATTAGAACTGATAAATGTATTTTCAGCGGCCAAAAAGTCAACCAAAAATCTAAATTTTTTGAAATATGGCGATTTTAAAATCCACTAAATGCTGCCTAGAGCGATTATCAGCCAAACAGATTATCGAAATCATATTTGCTTATCATAGGAGCTTACTGCATTAGGTAGGTAAAGCTACAGGTCTTAAAACTGAAAATTGGTCCAGAAGTTAATTGACAAGTTGATTACACTAACATACCTACTTCCCATGATAGAGCCATTTCGGGCAGCGGACACGAAGTTATGATTTCTTTTCGTTTCCTGGCAAATCGATGATTTTAACATTTGAGTCGTAGACTTGCCTAATTTGAGGGGATATGCGATGTGGTGTGATTTTCGTAGTTGACATGTCGACCAACCTCACTAAACCACTTTCTAAACAAATTTACAACTTGGCTCTTTGGCGTATTCCTACATTAATTCGACAATAAGGCCAAACCATGTCAGAGGTATTGATTTTCCTAACTATTATAGGGAATTACCTCATGAGGTAGCCTTGTAGAAGATTAAGCTGTTGCTTGAATGTTTTGTGCCATACATTC